AGCAATATATATATATCTATGTATATATGTATGTATCTGTATAGGTATGTATATATAAGAATTACATACATACATAGGTTGTTGGAAATCGTATATATATATTCCTAAATATGTGTATATATTCATAGGGATTTGCATACACATGTACATAGACACAAATACACGCAAATTGTTCAGATCATAGAAATACTCGTCTATCAGAGGTAAATTTAGCTTTGGACTGGGAATCTGCTCGACCTCAGCTCAAAACTGGAGGCGTGGCATACTGAAGGCGTGCTTATCTCTCCTAATGGCAGTTACATATGATATGATTTCTGGGCAAAGGCCTCACTGCAGTTGCCCCACAGACCCATAAGACACCACAGTCCACTCAAGGCTTAACAAACTAATACTATGACAAATGAAAAAAACAATGACCCCCTCGAGTATATAGCTAGGAACATTGAAAAGGCAGACTGAATCCATGTTGGCTATAGAGGAAAAGAGAATTAGACAGACTTCTATAGCCCCACATACACTTTACCTATAATATTCTATACGCAAAAAAGTTTGCAGTGTATTTGCATACGCACATGCCTCCATATAATCTATTTATCAAATGTCTATGAATATATATACACACAAATATATACATACATACACATACATATATATCATGATTCAAACAAAGCATATGCATACATATATGTATATATGCATATGTATATTTTATAGATAGATAATCGAATTCGAGTTGTTTTATTTACCGTTGCATTATTTAGATATTTGGATTTCTTCGGCTTGTTGTTCTTCATGTCGCCGTGGATTGTGAACTCCATGCCATCGCCGATGGCCACCTCCAGCTGTGTCTGCTCCTTGATGCCCTTCTTGATCAGCCCATCGGCCAGTATCTCGTCGTGGCCCAGCTCCAATTCGTTGTCACCGTGCTCTGCAGATATACAACGACAAACGCCCTTGCCTTTCGTATCCAAATATTGTTTTGTTTCGTTTGTTTTTTACATTTGGTTATTATTTAAACAAATTTTTTTTTTTCGATATGTACACGTTATATATAGTATATATATGTATATATAAGTATAGATGTATATATATACAGCATATGTGTAGCACAAATATATATATATACACATATATTATATAGCATATACGTATATATGGTTGTACATGTATGGGTGATGGGAGGGAAATCATAAAGCGAGCGCGAAACATTCGCACGTATTTCAATTGAAATTTCAAACACAAGCAAAGCAGTTGCCGTTCGCATTCAAGAGTTGTTGTTATTGTTGTTTTTTGTATTTTTTTTTTTTATCATTGTTGTTGTCGTTGTTGTTGTCGTTATTGGTTGATTAGATGAGATATATAGAACGATTTTTGTTGTTAATTGTTATTATTATTTTTTCGATTTGATTTTGTCGATTATGAATGAGTTTTAAGGCGTTCGATACGTTGGCCAATACATGGATATATTATATATATATGTATTTTTTTTTTATTTATATATATTTTTTTTAATCATGAAAGCCACATTATATAAATGAAAAGAATATAAATAGTTATGCGATTAATATCATATGAATATTAAGTAATTTTTTCTAATTTTTTATTTGATTCACGACACATAACGGAACAGAAAACATGAGCGCGCTGGCTCAACCGATCAATGAACCGATCGCACAACATTCGATCGCTGATCTGGATGCAGTTGAGCAAACGCTGCTGGCATGCTGATGCCATTCGTGGAACAACACAACAGCGATTAACGTGATCTGTGAACGGGCGCCCAGAGAAAGAGCTGCAGAGTGAGATGGGATGATCGCTAGATGATGATCGTTCGGATCGATGATCGCTAATTGGCGGAAATAAACATGAAGTGTCCAGTCCAGAAGGCAGCTGCTCCTAATATACATACATACATACATACATATGTATGTAGCTACTGCTGGCTTCTGGACGTGGACATGGACGTGGGTATTACATAAGCACTAAGTTTACATTTACAAAACCGAAAAATATATGAATATTTATATGTCAATTACAATTTAAGTGCTAGCGGTAAATTTGTTTGTAACTTTTGTTAAAAATCAAAATTCGAGAAAACAAAAATGAAAATAAATCAAAAAATTCCATACATATACAATTTACAATATACAATATACAATATACATTATACATTATACAATATACATTATACAATATACACAGACAACAATAATATCGATATCGAAAAAAAAGAGAAAAGTTTCGTATCACTATGAAGGATCAAATCCACTGTTTTACTTTCAATTTATATAATTTATTGGGTATCTAGAGTTATATATAGATCAAATTTCATGTTAACCATTGGCAATTCGCTAATGTGGATATTCGCATCAGATGTTGACCAAATTTTTTAATGTTTTTTATTCGTTCCTTATCGCTTCAAAAAGTGCAAATTTATTGTTCATCAAAACTAGGTATGAGAGGGACGGCGGCGGCGGCGGTGGGGAGTCATGAAACCGATCGACACAAGTCTATTCTATTCTATGAACAGTTTTGTGAGCTGTGGGCGCTAGCCCAAAAGACGAATACGAATACGAGGAGTTCGAGCTGCTAGCTATACAAAATACATATACATATACACATATGTACACACGTATGTAAAAATGAAAAGAATAAAACGAATAAACAAAAATGAAAATAATATCAAGTAAAGTAGTAGTAGTAGAAGAAGAAGATAACGAGAGATATACTGTGAGATACAGTCGATATCTAGCTAAAGAAACAAAATGTGTTTATGACTTTTTATTATTATTATTATAGTAGATATTAAATACGCACAACTAACGCTAGGTATAGTATGACGAGACTACGATTCTATTTGTCGTATAGTAACTATATAAGTATATATAACAGTTATGGGTAGAATATTAGGGTATGAGGTGAGCGGATATGTCACACTCGGCGCAGTTGCAGTTCTTGTTGCCCCCAGATGCATACGTGGTACGAGTACGGAGTGGCGAGTACATATACATGTACATATATCGAAATACACATACATACATATACTATGTACATGCGCATAGTTCTCATTGAGGATCGAACAACAACAATTTGGTTCGAATCGAACGGAAACCATAAACGATAAGAAAATATGAACGAAAAAATTTAATTTGAAGAACGAGATGAACGTCTTAATTCGATTGTATTCGATTGTAAATAGTTGCGATATATCGATTTATCGATTATTGAATTCATGGGATATGGACTATGGGTACAACTGGTTAACTAACTAAAGAGTTTTGGGTAGTTTATATTTGGTTATCGATTTAGAAAATTTTTGATTTCGCAAATTGTCAACTAGGAACAAGATTGGTTTTAATATACGAATTGGGTTTTGATATTTGATTTTTGTTGGTCAAACTAGAAGATATGGAATTTGTTAGCCAATTGTGAGTTGAAGTTAACGTTAACGCAATTAGATATCATTGATAATAGTAGTTGATATTATATAATTAAAAGTAGTTTAGTAAGTGAAAACAAGTGGATAAAAACCTTCGCTCCAAATCCAACTGATCTGGTTGATCCTCTCACCTGATGGTTGATCACTTATTTGATTTGTCAATTTGTTACGTATTAACTTGAAACAATCAGCAATATTACGCTTAACCCAACTCTTAAAACGGCCAATACGATTAAAGGCCTCGGCGATCTTATTGGTATCATTGTCGGCAGTCGGTGCTGATAAACTAGATGAGCCAAAATTTGACAAAAGCAAGGCTAAGAAAAGGTTAAGAACCTGCAAACGGAAATGAAAGACCACAATGTGAACACAAATTGCCACCAATCATAGCATACGATCGCACTTACCACAAGATTGCCGATGACAACGGTGGCCAAGAAGAATGGTATGCAGGAGACATCGCCCACGTACATGCAGTCCCACATGGACTCGATCCACTCTCCGCATAGCACTCGGAACACGATCATGAAGCTGTGCATGAAGTCGGTGAAGTTCCAGCGCGGCAGATCACCATCCGGAAAGCGATCCTTGTGATCTGTATGGGGCGTGACGATCGAACAAACAAGTACAGTAAATATTTAATAAGTTGTACAATATGCGTCTGTTTGTGTTTTGGGAATAGGTTTTCGTATTATTCGGTTATCGTTTCTAGTTTGTGTTCTTGTTCAATTACTAAAGCCACATACAGAAAGCGTGTGCAAAGTTGTTGTGGCAGCAGCACGCAAAAACAGTGTTGAAAAATGCGAGACAAGTCGTACAAAATTCACAAACCCAAAAACGAAAAGAAATCGAAACACAATACCAAAAACAAGGAGTGAAAAAGAAAAACAATGAGAACAAACTGCGATCCGCTCTTGAGCTACAAAATCGCATAGCCAAGTTGCAGATGGACAGTTTGTCTAGCTAAGCTTAGGTATAGATTGTATGGTACAGTAGGTAAACAAAACAATACAGTTAAGAGAGTTGGAAAAATATAGACAGAGAGAGAGAAAGAGAGCTTTAAGTATAGTAAGCTAGAGGAAAAGTTTGCTCAAGTATAAATCGCGCTAAAGTACTTACAGAGGCCCGGCGCCTGGTGCCTGGCAATGAGACCCGAAACTTAAACTCAACTTAAACATAGCACAGCGCAAATATCAAATGAATATCCCTATCCCTATAAATATATGTTGCTTTCACGGACCAAGCTATACGGACTCTAATGACAAATCTAACAAACTAAAAATATTTCCAAAAGTGTTAAATTGTATTGATTTCGTGAAATTAGTTATTTTTCTTCTATTCACAAATTCCTAATTAAACACAAATTATAAATATCTCATAGTTTGTTTCCCGATTTAAGCTAATTTAGCCTCGAGCTTTGATTTTATAAATTTTCATCGTCATGAATTCCTCATGTAAAAAGGATAAGTGAGTAATGAAAAGTAAAAATGAACACATAAATTTGCATAAACCATTCACTTGACAATTACTTCAGCATGGGACTCTACCTAGAGCAAGGCAAATAGAAAGTGCAGAGAAGATTTTGTTGCATTCCAATAACTTAGGGAGTTCCTAGATTAAAACTGGGACTATTAAAGAGTTAGATATACGCAATGACCTATGCAGTTGGCTATAGTCTATGGTCTTCTAGAGACTTGACCTACTCAGGTATGCGATTAGGGATCAATCGTTATCAGTAGGAAACGAAATATATTCGATTATATTATAGACCAGAGGCAACAAATTAAAGCATATCGATAGCTTTGTTAATGTTTACACATCGCACCACTGGGGTATTTCCTAGTCTAACTGGAGCACTTTTCTGGCTGAAGTAATTGCAGTGAAAGTTTACAAGTGAACTTAACGTTGGTGTTGACAACAATTAATCGTTATTGCAGTTATCGATAAGCACAACAACAGTAGCAACCAAAACAAAAGAGAACATAAGAACAACAACAATGTTACCTAAAACTGGATAGACATATAGACACATATATAACATGTAACAGTATCATATATACATAGTATGAAAACAAGAGAAAGGATAACGGAAAGACGCCCACGAGAAATGGAAAGTATAAAGAGTAAATCAAACGGGAAACCACACGATAAGAATATGCACATCGATTAACCGAAAAAAGCTGTAGAAAAGCAGCGCAGCAGCGAGTGGTGGACTTACCATGATAGTTCTTTCCGAACAGTTGCATTCCCATCACCGCAAAGATGAAGATGATAATGCAAAGTACAAATGTCAGATTACCCAAAGCGCCCATGGTGCGGCCCATAATCGAAATGAGTAAATTAAGTGTTGGCCAAGATTTTGCCAATTTGAATACACGCAGCTGCATTACGAATTTCGGATTATCGAATTTCGAATTTGTGGATTTGTGGATTTGGCGATTTCGAGGCATAGATTTAGTTATTCGATTGCAATGAGAGTTGTTGATTGGTTCGTTTATCATCATTATCATTATCATCATTATTATTATCGAAATTGAAATTGTTATTGATAGTAGTAATATTTTTTTTTCATATTTTATTTTTTAAGCCGGGCAAAGCATTAGGAGTACAAAAAATAAAAACAAATAGTTATAGTCATGTAGCAAATATGTCTTCGAATGCAAATAACGTTTAAACTATGAATAAAAGAAGAAGAAGACAGAAAGCTACGAACGAGACCGTAGCTAATAACGTTCAGGCACAGCCGCCGTCGAGTCTTCTYGCACGACTCTCATTCAATCAATCAATCGGATGGCATCGATCAGCTGAGACAATGATTAATAACATTCGTAAATAATTTGTAGTATGTATATATATAGATAAATCGATACATGTGGAGTGGAGCGCCTCTTGCCAACGGAAACGGCCGATCGATATTTATCGATTGTAGCTTTTGTCGCGCACAAACCAATTTCGAAACTTGCGAAGCTCAATAAAAATTATGCAAATCGAAATGCATTAACCGTGCCCAAAGCATTGCTCTAGATATGTATATATAGTCTATATGTAGAATTTGTATATGTTGGTTCGGCTTGTCAAGTGTCGAATTTTCGATTGGAATTCAGGTGGTTTCAGCTATTTGTTATAAAAAAGTTTTGCTCGGCTAAAGTCAAAAAACGAACACAAAATCAAAATAAAATCAAATTCTTAAAATATATATTATATATGAGATTAGAATTAGTTAACTTGGAGTAAAAAGTTGAGTAAGTTGTACTAGGAAAATGCTTGGTACGAATAGTAATATTAGATTTCTTAAAAAAAATTATTATTTGTATTGCACGCTAAAAACTTGCGATTTTTGTTGTGTTTGAATTTCTTTTGTAAATTATTTTTGTATTTTATTTTTATTTTGGGGAAATTGAATGGATTTGCATTCGGGCATAGAGCATAATACCTGTGTAGTTCTTGCCAAACAGCTGCATGCCCATTACAGCAAAAATGAAGATTATAATGCATAGGACGAAGGTCAGATTGCCCAGAGCGCCGACAGTGCGACCCATTATCGATATTAGTAAATTTAACGTTGGCCATGATTTGGCCAATTTGAATACACGCAGCTGTAAATTGGCAGCACAGATGGGTAACATTAGTGTGTGTGTGTTGAGTGTGTGTGTGTGTGTGTAGAGGCAACAGGGTAATCGGATTTGAAGAAGTACGCGTTAGTTGAGATCACATTGCTTTGAGTACAGTTATTGTATATAGAATCACCCATTTTTGATTTAAAGTCTACCTTAACTCCTGAGCTAACTAGAATTATTCACGTCGCTTTGAGTGGGCTGGCTAATGGTGCCAGTTGTGCTTACCAAACGAAACGAACGCAATACGGATAAGCCCTGAACGCCCTCGAGTCCCAGCTCGAGCAGTGAGAGTGCGACAATGATGAAATCGAAGATGTTCCAGCCCTCCTGGAAATAGTACTTCGGACTCATGGCCATCAGCTTCATGGTGGCCTCAATGGCAAAAGTCGCAGTGAAGAACTGAAATCGATAGGTATGTGATCGATAAGTGAAACATGCATGGGGCATTCATTAGCTGCACTCACATAGTTTCCGCTCTTGAGCACACGCTCCATCTCCTTGTTCATGTCGTGATGGTCCATGGCCATGAACATTGTGTTCACAACGATGCACAGCGTGATGAAGAGCTCCACGAACGGATCGAAGACGATCAGAGAAACCCATTCCTGAAATTTCAACCAAACCCAGCAGCAATCCCACACACAAAACACATCGATCCCTTTGAGTATCACTTCGAGCGCCTTGTCTTTGAACGTCGGCCCGTCCTCGTCGTCGTCCTCTGTTGGGAAATAGTAAACGGAGACTGAACGATACAAAAGTTTGTTATTAGTTGTGATTTGACCAACTTTGACTCAGCCAGATTAGCGGATTTTTTTATTTAAAATTTGTTTTCTTTTTTCAAAGCAGATTTTTCATACGATTCACTTTCGCAATTTTCGTATGAAATTATTATTATTATTATTTTTTTTTTTTTTTTTTTTTTTTGAAGCTTCATTGCATTGGAAATTATTCGTTTGCTTGTTTTAGATTAAACAGAAAGAGAATTACAAAACAAACACTTACGCGCAGTGTCTGTCTGTTCTTTTCTCTGTATGTGTGTGTGTGTGTGTGTCTGTGGGAGTGTGTGAGAGTGTGGGTGTTTAGGTGTGCTTTCGAAAAACTAGAGAGACTTTTGTTTATCGTTTTTGGAGCGCATTTTGTCTTCATTTCAAATACTTTTACAACGAAATTCTCTAACTGCGAAAGCATGAAGAATCAAAATCAATTCGACCTTAAGTTACTCTACACTCAACTTGAAAACAGCTCCAGTTGAAGCACAGACCAATATGAATCGGACTAGGCTGTTGCGAAAAATTTCAAGCTAATGAATTTGAATCGCTGTTGAATAGAGAAAAATTCAAATGTCATAAAAGTTTTATTTACACAAGTAAGGATGAGTATCTAACTAGGAAATACTCTGAGCACAGCTCTAGACTGTTCATTATTTCTCTCTTCATTTTTTTTTCAAGCTGAAGTTTTTAATATTTGAAATGAGTTTTTTCGTGGGAAATCCAAAATCTCACAAAGTAAATTGAAGACTTTCATCTCTTGTGGCTTAAGGAACCAAGTCTATCGTATCGATATTTATCGATAATAAATCAAATGGGTTGAGGTAACGATAACAACATCGTATTGCGTATAAAATACAGTTTTCATTTATATATTCAAGATTTTTTGTGGTTTACTCAGCTGGTGGGCTCTGCCACGCCTATATCTTCATCTTGCACACTTCTACATTTTCGCTGAGCCACAATGGATTTGATATAACTTTCCAATAAACCAATTCTAGATCAAATAGATTTTAGATATTCATTAGATATTTGCTATCCTTGCCAATAAATAACAATAACTTGAAATTCTAGATTTAAATTCAAATTCAGCTTCGAACAAGTTTTCGGATGTCTGATTCATGGTTACTAAATATAAGCAAATTCCATTGGTCTGTCTGACAAAAAGTATGTTTTAAGCTACTCTATCTAACTACTCGTAATACTACGATTACAAAAGGCTACAAATCACTAAGCTCTGGAAGAGTTAAACTAACTTTAAGTGAATTACTGAAATGTTGATCGTAAAATTGTGAATGCTCTGCTTGTGAATCATTGTTTTACTGTAGTCTCTCAGCGAGCTGTGAGACTTTTTGTATTTGAATTATATGCGGAAATAGATGTCTAAATCTATGGCTATATCTATGCCGATTATAGGTCTGACACAATTTTTTATAAGCGCGAATCATATTCCAATACAAATGTTAAGCGTTCAGTTCAAGTTGTTACAGTTAATTTCACGTTGTTGATTGCGAGTATTTACTCTAAGGGTGATTTGTGACAACTGACAACGTTCTACTGAAGAAGCATGCGTTAGTTACTACAGTTAGTTAGATTTTAATTATAATTATAATTAACGCAAGCAAGCTACAAAAACAAAAATTAAAAATGATCTAGATTATAGACTTAGAGGTTAAAGGCAAAGATTCTTGATTAAGTTAAGTTAAGGCATGCAGAAAAGTTCGAATTTCAAAAATCAATTCCAATAAAACTTACGACTTTTAGTAATTTGAGACAAACAAAATGAAAGTTAAGTAAAATTAGTTGATAAAAAAGGCTCTCTGTTTTTTTTTTTTTGCTCTTTTTTTTGTTTAATGTTTCGCAATTTCATCAAGTGTGTTATCTAAATTGCGAAATTCGAAACATAAATGCATTAGCTGAATCATAATCGATATTTGTGTATTGTTGGGCAGCAACTGTAATTGTTGTTTTGTTGTGCAGTGAAGCAGCGCTAACGGTGAATTCATAATGGTGCAGCAAGCTAAGAAGCCTCAATGGAGGACACTATCAAAGCGTCAAAAAGTGTTGCCTACTTTTTAGGGCAGCGGCGAAGCGATTTAGCTCGGACTGCTGTGTATGTGTGTGTGTGTGTAGTATACAAAATTCTTAATTTGTACTAAATCTATTAAGTTCTTATGTGTGTGTGTATTCGTGTGTGTGTGTTAGTTTGGCTGGCTTGCTGCTTTTATTGTAAATATTATATATAAATATTGTTTTCTTTT